CTTCTTCTCTCTCTCTCTCTCTCTCTCTCTCTCTCTCTACAATTGGTGATTACATGTGGTTTCATGAAGATCACATTCGGTAATGTATAATGGGTTTCTTGGGATTGTTATATAAGTGGGGACCACTGATACCAACTTGTGCAGGGACCCATGGTGGAGTGGGTGCTTATGTTTATGCCACTGTACAGTGCTTTAATAGAAGATGAGGATACTGATCCCTTGCGTTTTCTCCAGTCTAACGTCCTTTTGTTGGGATAGGAATGTGAATGTGGACTGGTTTGGGGCATCACGTGTGGGCCTCGTAGGTTCAGGTTCTGACAGTTTAGGGTTTATTTTATTTCTCATCTTGGGCCTTGATGGCTACTATGTATATTTTGTATTGTTAATGTTGAGTTGAGGTGTATATTAGATGGACCTTCTCTCTTTATTTTTGGAAATTCATGGGAATTAGAGTAATCACCAAATGGAGCATATATTGTTGGATACTTCTTATTTTGGAGATGATATGGAAATGCTTTACTGTTTACTACTTAGCATCTTGACAGCTTCGATGGAAGGATTTGCAGGGTTCTTTGATATGTGAGGTAGTCAAATTACAATGTTTGGGTTCTTTGATATGTGTGGTAGTCAAATTACAATGTTTTTTGATCTCTCTGAAAACCAAATTTGTTCCCAAATTTCAAAATTTTGGTTTTTAGGGTTCAGAGGATTTCAGTGTTGCCACTGGTGTTGCCTTGCCTCAACGCAGCTAAATGCTCTTCTGAAATGGCTGATTCCTCTAAATTTCGCGCGAGGGCTGCTGTTGCACTGCACCTTAAGGACTCCAATGAACTCATCAGCTCTGTGGAGACCTTCATCTCTGATTGTGCTGGTAAAAGATGTGTTTTTCTTCTAGTCATTAAATGTATGCTTTTTTTTTGTGAGATTTTATTTAATTAAAATTCTTGTTATTTGCTTCTGTTTAAGTTGGTGTTTTATGTTTCTTGTTTAGGATGAGTTGGGGTGCTCTTTGTTCCTTTCCATTTTGTGAATTTCCTTGTTTTTGTGTCCTTTGTGCATGTTATGATGTTCAGCTTTCAATTTGGACTGAATTTTTTACCAATTATGGTGCAAGTCTTTATTCTAGCTATATACTTGGACACAATTCTGTAGTGAAAATGGTTGGTTTTGAATAAATTTGCAGATAAAATGGTTGATTTTGTATATTTCAGGCAAATTATTGTGTTGTCTCCAGGATTGCAAAAATCTAGTTTCTACTAAACACCCTTGTTGAAATATCCAGTCAAATTTCCAAACACAGTATTTATCTTTTACTAAGTATCAAAATTCCTGTCATCCATATCTCAGAGGTAGAAATTTCAGCATGAGTTTTCAATTTCTAGGTGCCAAACGCCCCCCTTAAAGAACTCTCGATTTTGGAGGGAATGAAATATATATTGAATTAAGCCATTTTCCGAAAAACTTTTTTCAATAGACTTCAGAAGTACGCCTTAAATCTATTTCTTTTTTGTTAATTAGTAGCGGCACATTGAAATGGATTGGGCTGGGACAAAGTTCGACTCCTGAGCATTAGCAGTGTGCTTGCATTGGTTTCTAAGTTGATTCTGAATTCATTATTCTAATTGAAAGTTTGACGTATTACACCAATACACATCTAAATTTGTAGTATTGTTGTTCGAGGCTAGTTTGAACCAATCGTATTTTCTTCGCCTAATGATTTTTCGCAACTTCTTTTAATTTGACTAGGTTCTTCTGGTTTTGTTTCTTTTGGGGAAATTTATGCTAGTGTTCTCTTATTTTGTGGTATTAAAAAAACGCCTTTTATTTTACATGTTTCACACTCATGTCTATTTTTTGTCTTTTTTTTTTTGGAAAAATTTATAGATATCTCTTAGACCCAACTTCCTAAGTATTCTCCGAACATTTTTTAACCTACATTGCCAATCCAAACACTATTTTTTTTCTTTTGTATCCAACCCCCCCAAGTAAAAAAGTGAGTTTTTATGACAAAATTAACCCCCTCTAAACCCACAACTTTCTTTATTTTTTGTCCCTTGTGAAGCTGGTTATCTCGATCCCTATTGAAACCTGTATGCTACACATCGTGCCTGTCTGGTTTCGTTGTTTATAATGAGGCCAATCCCAGCATAATGTGTGCCAAACAGGTTTTGGAAGGGACAAGAAGCCGGTCTGGCTTCAATAGAGATCAAAAGTTGGCTTCAATAGAGATCAAAAGTTGGTCTAGCGCATAGTATGTTGGTCTAAAACAAAGTGTTCGGGATCGACTTCATTGTATAAAATGAATAGAAATGTAGGTTCATAGGAGGTATTTTTGTCATTAGAAGATTACTTTTTTACTTGAAGGTGGATGTGAAAAATAAAAAAATAAAAAAATAAAAAAAAATAAAGTTAGTGATATTGTTAAAAAAGTACGTAAAAAGTTGAGTCAAATAGAGTATATAATTTTCCATATTTTTCCCTGAAAATTTCTGGTTCAGAGCTGGGATGAATTTTTGATCCGGGCCATTTATTATTTTCTATCAAATCGCCTCACCAATTCCAAGAACCTAACTACCTAATCTATAAACCAGTCGGCTTGAAACTTGAGCTTCTGAACCACTTGTCTAGTCAAATCGATAGATTCGAGCTTCAAGTTCCAAACTCAACTCATGGGGTGCATTTGGGGAGTTCAAGTTCCGTTCTAGTAACCTGTTCAGAACTTTTCTTACCCATCACTTGTGCTTCTTTTCAGTCTGGTGGATACGAACCAGATTTTTATGGAACTTCAAATTCCAAACCAGGCTATTTTTTTTTTGTCAATACAGGACATTTTTTCTATACAGCAAAATAAAGGGAATATTAGGATAACTTTATCTTGTTTTGTTCATTAGATCAAAATTGGAGTAATTCTTAATTTATGCTATATGGATAATTCTTAATTTTTAGAGAGAGAGGGACTTCAAGAAGAAACCCAACTTTATCTTAGGTTTTGAAGAAGGAACCCAATTCAGGTTTATGGAGGGTTTTGAAGAAGAAAAACCAATTTCCTTTATTTTTCTTCTTTTGGTTGAGTTAAATTTCTCAAAATCCTTAATTAATCTCCTTACATTAGGATTTAAATTCATCCGTCTTTGGATTAAGCTTTGAATTTGAATTTTGCAAAGAAGATTCTAAGGTTACAACTAAGAAAGAGTGACAAAGATTCAAGTCTATTAGAGCTCGAAACAGTGCTTTTCAAGCTCGAACTAGCTTCTTTGCAACTTCATCACCCACTCCCCTTCTTGGAACCTCAAGATCTGCTATTGATGCAAATTCGACGCATTGTAATAGTAAACCAGCGCAAGATTCAGAGCCACCATTAAAGCCACTTCAAAGCTCCATCAAACCAAAATCAGACCATTTTTTCCTAGAGATTTGATAGAGTTTTTTGCAAAGGGGGGGAGGGAGTGCCTAGATTTGAGCAGGGCTTTTTCACAGAGGTTTGATAGCAATTCCCCCTTCTGTCTCTAGAAATTTTCGCAAAACGTTTTTTTCGACCCGTTTTATTTGTTTTCAAGAAATCGCGTTTTTAACAGTATTATGAAAAATACACGTTTTTTGGACGAACTTTTCAAAAAAAGGGCGTTTAGAACGTTTTTAAAAAATACGTCAATTTTTTAAAAAATACGTCAATTTTTTTAAAAATTCGACGATTAATCGCCGAATTGCTAACTATGCTTGTGACAAAGACTTGATAAAAATATCAACTACTTGATTGCGGGAGGAAACAAAATGAGTGATAGGAATCCAAGAGTAACCTTTTCACGCACAAAATAATACCAAATGTTAGGTACCAAACCAATACGTCCTAAAACCCTTGGATGATGGAAATACGGAAAGTTAGGCCCTTAAACCACCTAGGATCGTAACATATCACCTACTCTGCAGCCGACGTTAGGTTCTGATTCTATGGTAGCTCTTACTCTGATTTTATTTTTTCAGGCAGCCCTTTCCATAAGTAGCCCTTTTCTAGGATTTGAGCCTGGGTCGCAGTGGTTGCTCCGACACCAAAAAGAATTTTATGGAGAGAGATGGAGGAACTCTTTGATAAAATAATTGTGTCCCAAATTGCTCTTGTTGTTATTCTTTTAGTGTACATGT